TCAAGGAAGGGTTTTAGGCAGAAATAAGGAAAAAAATCTGCTCTTTAAAAAAGTGGTCTTTGGGGGCCTGGCGCTGAGGCATAGCGGATAAAGCCACGGCCTGCAGTGCTGGCATCCCACACGGGCGCCGGTTCGAATCCCAGCTGTTCCACATCTGATCCAGCTCTCTGCTTTAGCCTGGGAAAGCAGTGGAAGATGGTCCAAGTCCTTGGGCCCCGGCACCTTCATGGGAGGGTGCTGGAAGAAGCTCCTGGCTCCTGGCTTCGGAATGGTGCAGCTCTGGCCATTGTGACCAATTGTGGGGGTGAACCAGCGGATGGAAGCTCTCTCTCTCTCTGCCTCTCCTTCTCTCTCTGTGTAACTCTTTTAAATAAATAAATCTTAAAAAAAAAAAAAAAAAAAAGTGGTCTTTGGTGACGGTACGAAGAATGGCCTGGGGCAGGGAGGGCGGAGGGACCAGAGGGGTGAGACTACTGCAACCACGGGGTGGGGAGAGCAGGGTGATGCCGACCAGAGAAGCAGGTGGATGCTGGACACTTAGACAGCAAGTCACCGAGTCACAAGACAGCAGAACAACGAGGTCACAGGCATGACTCAGAGGTCTCCGGTGGGGAGCTTCACACACAGCACTGGGCGGAGGAACACGTTCCTGCCCTCTGGCCCGGGAATTCTCCTTCTAGGAATCTCCTCAGGAAATCATCAGAGACTTGGTCACCATCACTTTGGAAACATGTCATTTTATATATTTAAAACCTGTAAGCAATCTAGATAATCAAAACAGAAAAATTGAACTGCTTTCCCAGGCACATTAGCAGGGAACCAGATCAGAAGTGGAGTAGCTGGGACTTGAACCGGTGCCCATATGGGATGCTGGCACTGCAGGCCAGGGTTTTAATCCGCTGTGTTACAGTGCTGGCCCTGTCTTTCCGTTTTTAAAATTTTCTGTATATTGAAGAAATGATACTTTCAAAATTATTTGTTTTAAAATAACATTTGTTGTATGCTTACTATGCACTAGGGACTATTCTAAATGCTTCAAGCATATAAAATCTTTGGTCCTGAAAATATTTCTAACATACAGGAAAGGTAACTGGCTTGCCCAAAGTTGCATAGTAAGCCAAAATTTGAGGCCATCCAGGCTGACTGCGGTATCAGTTCTCTTATACCATTTCCCTAAGCTGCCTGTGGAAGTGTTGCATTTAAATTTTAACATTTTTTATTTCTTTTCATTTAAAGTCTATTTTCATTATATTTGAAAGGTAGAGAACGCAAGAGATTTCATCCACTGGCTCACTGCCCAAATGCTGGGGCTGTGCCAGGATGAAGCCAGGAAGTGGAAACTCAGTCCAAGTCTCCATGTGGGTGGCAATGACTCAATTATTTACGCCATCACCTGCTGCTTCCCACAGTAAGCATTAGCAGGACGCTGAATGGGAGGCAGAGGAGTCGGGACTCCAACGTACGCACTCCAACCTGGGAGTACCAAGCAGTGGTTTAACAGCTGTGCCAAACACCTGCCCCTCAGAGAAATAACTGTTTTCTTTTTTTAAATAGATTTATTTATTTATTTAAGAGGCAGAGTTACAGAGACAGAGAGGGAAAGACAGAGAGAAGGTCTTCCATCCACTGGTTCACTCCCCAAATGGCCACAATGGCTGAAGCTGGGCCAATCCGAAACCAGGAGGCAGGAGTTACATTTAGGTCTCCCATGTGGGTATGGGGGCTCAAACACTTGGGCCATCTTCCACTGCTTTCCCATATGGGATGCTGACACCACAGGTGGATGTTTAGCTTACTAAGCCACAGCACCAGCCCCTATTTTCATTTTTTAAAAATACTTATATATATTTATTTGAAAGTCAGAGTTAGAGAAAGAGAGGGGAGAGATACAGAGAGGGGAGTCTTCCCACCAGGATAGTGCTGGTTCACTTCCTAAGTGGCTGCAAAGGCCAGAGCTGAGCCAGGCTGATGCCAGGAGCCAGGAGCTACATTTGGGTCTCCCACATGAGTACAGAGACCCAAACACTTGGGCCATCTTTTGCTGCTTTCCCAGGCCATTAGCAGGGAGCTGGATCAGAAGTGGAGCAGCTGGCACATGAACCAGCACCCATAGAGGATGCCTACATCGCTGGTGGCGGCTTTACCCGCTATGTCACAATTCTGGCTCCAGGGAAATACTTTTAAAAGGAATACCTTGGGGTAGGCATTTGGTGCAGCAGGTAGGATGCGTTTCAGGCTGCCCACATCCTATACTGGACTGCCTAGTTTCCAGTCCCGGCTCTGCTTCAGATTCCAGCTTCTCATTGATATGTACCCTGCGGAGGCAGCAGCAGGTGATGGATGGCTCAGGCACCTGGGTCTCAGCCACCTATGTGGAAGACCCAGATGGAGCTGCCAGCTGCTGACTTTAGCTGGCCCAGCCCTACGTGTTGCAGTCATTTGCAGGGATGGGGCCCACCGGCTGTATAAGGCTCGTGAAATCATTTAGTCTGGTCCTGCCAAGGCAACCACAGGCAGGAATAAAAAATTCAATAAATCTACAGCAGGCTAATTTTTAAGTTGACAATTTTGTGTGGCTTGCAAATGATGTTATAAATGCCCAAATGGCCCTTGGCAGAATAAAGGTTCCCCACCTCTGATAGGAAATGAATATGTGAAATGGAGACCTCTACCTGTCAGTTCTCTCCTCCCTCCCAAGTGTGTGTGTGTGTGTGTGTATGTGCCTTTCAAATAAAATAAACAAACAATTTTTGAAGTAAAAAATTATCAAAACAACTCAGATTGGTAGAAAAATATCTGCAAGTCATGTACCTGACAAGGGCCTAGTACCCAGAATATATGAGGAACCCTCACAACTCAATAACCAAAAGAAAAACACCTCCATTAGAACATAAGCCAAGAATTTGAACAGACATTTCTCCACTAGAACAGCTATAATAGAACCAAGAGATAAGGATGTAGAAAAATTGGAACTTTCATCATCTACTGCTGGTGGAATGTAAAATGTTGCAGCTATTTTTGAAAATGGTTTGGACTTTCCTTGAAGAGTTAAATAGTTACCAGATGAGCCAGCAATTCTACTCCTAGACATGTACCCAAGAGAAATGAACATGTATTTCCACATGAGAACTTGCACACAGATTCTCACAGTAGCATTGTTCATAATGGTCAGAAAGTGAACACAGTTCAAATGTTCTTCAGCTCAGGAGTAAATGCCCAAAATGCACATATCCATACAACAGAATATTATTCAGCACTAAAATGAGATGAAAGACTGATACATATAGCCTGCAGGAACCCCGAAAGCACAGTAAGTGAAAGAAGCCAGACCCCAAGGGCCACATACTGCATGATGACCCCATGTGTATGCTACATCCTGAACTGGCAAATTCAGAGAGGTGGAAAGCAGATCAGCACTTGCCAGGGGCTGTGGGCAAAGAAGAATGGACAGCTGCCACTTAAGAGACACTGGGCTTCCTTAGAGGATAGTGAGAATATTCTGGAATAAGATAGTGGTGATGGTGGTTTAACACTGTGAATATACTAAAAACCACGAATTGAATACTATCAAATGGTGAAAATGCTGAATTTTATGTAATATGAATTTCATTTGAATAAAAAAAAAATTTTCTCTACTAGAAATTCAAGAGTACTTTCTCACAACCAGATTTTTTTTTAACTTTTTCTTTTGTGCTTAAGTATTAACTTGAAAATACCAGATTCTTTTGTCTCATCTATAGGATGGAGTAATAATTATACAATTCTAAGAAGGTTTTAAGCAGATTAAGAGAGATAAAATGTTTGAAGCACTCACGACTTGACACAATAGCTCTCAATAAATGGTAACTGTCAGAAGTAGTATTGTATTTGGAGTCTAACCAGGATTTGAAAAAAATGTATCATTCCTATTTCTCTCCAGATTAGAGTGTCACAGACAACTCAGTAAGTGGCAGATTTATTTGGCTAAAATCAAAGAGGAAAAAGCACAATCTTATTTTTACGTTATTGCTGCTGGTCTAGCATTTAATTTTAAAATACAATGAACAGTTCAGTGCATGGTTAGAATAAGAAGCCAGAGAGCTGCAGGTGCAGTAATCCTACCACACCTATCACAAGAGTACAAGGAGTGTTTCTAGACATTAAAACCTAAATAAGTCTATGAAATGTACTCCATGGCCAACATGAGAGAAAGAACCTTAGAGCAGCTTACAGATAAGCTAGGGAATTTTCTAGTTCTGCTTGAGTTATTAATAAATATTAACAGGCGATTTTGCTTCAGTGTTAAACTACTGTGAATATCCAGACTGCCAAATCCACACTGAAATACAAGTTAAACATCAGACAACGGTCACAAACTCCTGTAGATTAGAAACAGCATTGTTTCTTTCCTTTATGTTAACTACATTTTAGAGTAAATGGCAATTGCTTTATCTGACAAGAGGGAAAACATATCAAAATGTTAGTAGTTTTCAGGGAAGAAGGCAGAGCCAGCAAAATATACTTGCTTAAGAGAATGAAAAAAAAAAATAAACAAACAGGCTCACCAACGTTTCATGTTTGTACAACACAATATAGGTCAGGCAGCCGATAAAGCAAAGAGATAAACTGACAACCGGACTAAGCACTATAAATAGCGCCTGGGGCCAGGGATGAAAGGACACATTCTGCGTGGGTGGAGAGAAGCGACGATCCCAGCAGCCTGGTCTTCTATACACTGACAAACACTTACCAGCCTCGCTCCATGTAACACGATCGTGTCCAGCAACATAGACGTGTTACACATGAACAAATACATGTTGTATGGGGTTATTCACCACAGATTCTTTTGGCCTAAGAAAAACCCTGGGTCAAACTGTTCTTTCAAATTTTCCCATAAAATTTTCCTGTCTGTACAGGAAATGGTCAAAAAGGAATGGAAAGAAAGGATTCTTTACAGCACTGTGGGGAATCCAGCAAGGCTGCGGAAGAGCCACTGTGATCCCAAGGAGGTGTGGTCCTACCTGTGTCAGTCCTTTGCAGCCCCATTCTGAATCGGATCTGCTTGCCACCAAGGACCTCAGTAAGGTGTTCAGCCGTCCAGTGTCGTGCCGGCCAATCAAAAACCATGTTACAGAAGACCGCAGGTTGTTGCAAAGACATTATGATTTCTTTGGCCTTCTCTGGTGTAAAAGGTTTGCCATGCTTACCTAGGGAGAGACATAAAAAAAGAAACAGCTACAGGATTATAAAGTTATTTTTATAGAATATAAAGAAAAATAGCTTTGTTTCTGTTATGGCAAATCTTTCTGTGCAAATAAATATTTGGCTTCAAAGGATGATAATTCTTAAATTATTTCTCTCACATTAAATTTTAAATGTTTGAATGTTGGGAAATTTCATTTTCAAAGTCAGAAATGAAGGTTTCATCTTTTTTTTAAAAGGGCTTTCCAACTACTTTTTCAAATTTAAAAAGATGCAATGTTTCTTACACAATATTATTTCCTAAATAGAGGATTATGTAAGAAACGCTGAGGGGAACTACTCCAGAACATCTAGTTTCTGGGTCATCAACAATTCTGTTTGCTAAATCACATGTTTATGCCAAAAAGACTACTCAATTAACACAGCGGACAACCTGGGAGGGGGGGATTATTTTCTATTGTGATTGTAAGAATAAAATGTGTGCTAAAATGGAAATTAGCGATAATCCTCAGCTTGAATTGCATCTTTAAACAGGGGCTATGGCCAAACCAACGCTGCTGCTGGCACAGTACTCAAGTAAATTTCACAGAATCACAGAATATTCATTTAGGATACTACTGGATTGGATAGGAAAGATTAGAAGTCTTTAAATTAAAGAACAAGACATTTCCCTTTAAAGCCATGTTAAGATAGAAGCTTTGGGAGAAGGTTAAAACAAAAGCTTCACATGCTGGTCCATAAAACACAATTTATGGTTCTCAAGAACAATCAGCTAATCCTCTATTTCAATTACTTAATGTGTAATTATACTTAATTCAAGAAATTAGGAAAAGTTCGTAACTAATCCAAATTTCTCCACCACCCAACCTTTTTCTAAACTGATTAAAGGAAAAAGAATGAGGGAGGGCTTTTTATAAAGAACTTGAGTTACTTGTGATTTTCCAAACTCAACACTTGTTTTTAAAAGAACACTAAAACTTGAATCAATTTGGCCTCCTTTCTCAGACAACAGGGCCAGAACTCGGGATTCCTTCCTGAGCTCTCAGTGACTTTGCCCTCTGCAGCTGACAGCTGAGAACAAACAGGGAGGGGGCCGAAGAGCTGGGGACTGCACGGAATGAGAGAGAAGGCCCCACAGGTCTAATGGAAAAAAGACCCCGGCTTTATCTTTAAGCGACCTTTGCATGCTGAAGGGCCTAGAAAAGGATAATATGATGTGGCCAGAAAGAAAATTTTCTGTTCTTCTTGGTTGGGTCTGGGGTTTTGATTTGCATTTTTTCAGATACAGTAACTTCACACTCAATGCTGAATCCACACACTGGCCCACACGTAAAATAATGCAATGCGCCAAATCCTTCCACACTTGGAGTTTCTGGATCCCATGTGTACAAAAGTGGACAAACAACTGGTATTAAATATTTTTAAAGTTTTGCTAGACTGTTGCAGAGAAGGCAAAACTTCTCCTCTACTAGCCCTTAAGAGTCTCTGGCAGGTTCACAGGAGAAAAACATGCAAATTTTATTTAATAAATTTTACGCAAAGACACCCTTTTTTTTTTTTTTTTTTTGACAGGCAGAGTGGACAGTGAGAGAGAGAGACAGAGAGAAAGGTCTTCCTTTGCCGTTGGTTCACCCTCCAATGGCCGCCGCGGCCGGCGCGCTGCAGCCAGTGCACCGTGCTGATCCGATGGCAGGAGCCAGGAGCCAGGTGCTTTTCCTGGTCTCCCATGGGGTGCAGGGCCCAAGCACCTGGGCCATCCTCCAGTGCACTCCCTGGCCACAGCAGAGGGCTGGCCTGGAAGAGGGGCAACCGGGACAGAATCCGGCGCCCCAACCGGGACTAGAACCCGGTGTGCCGGCGCCTCTAGGCAGAGGATTAGCCTAGTGAGCCGCAGCGCCGGCCAAAGACACCCTCTTAAGAAAAAGAAAATACAGAAGCAGTTAGGGCCTAGCAGTCATAACTAAGTTAGATAGTCGTAAATTGTGAAAACAAGACAAGACAAAGGGGCTTGGGGGAGGGCAGCTAATTCAGCCAAGTAGGAAGGTAAGGGTTAGTCCAACAAGGTCTGTACCAGTTTTGCTCAGCCTGGGCTCCCTGACTCTGGTTACTTCCCCTCTCCTCCCTTTCCCAGTACAAGGAGAGTACCTGTCCCATTCGAGTTTTATCTCCTGCTCTTTGGGAAGAAAAAGGAAGGTCAAAGAGATCTTACGTCGCAGCTCACTAGGCTAATCCTCCACCTTGCGCCGCCAGCACACCAGGTTCTAGTCCCGGTTGGGGCGCCGGATTCTGTCCCGGTTGCCCCTCTTCCAGGACAGCTCTCTGCTGTGGCCTGGGAGTGCAGTGGAGGATGGCCCAAGTGCTTGGGCCCTGCACCCCATGGGAGACCAGGATGAGTACCTGGCTCTTGCCATCGGATCAGCGTGATGCGCTGGCCGCGGCGGCCATTGGAGGGTGAACCAACGGCAAAGGAAGACCTTTCTCTCTGTCTCTCTCTCTCACTGTCCACTCTGCCTGTCAAACAATAAAAATAAAAAATAAAAAATAAAAAAAAGAAAGTGCTGTTGACCCAAAATAATCAAGATAAGCGGCTCTCTGGAGGCAGCATATTTTGATCTCCTCCACTAAGAAGATACAGTACTTCATGATGCATTCTGTTTTTCAGGACATGCAAACTGGAACCATCCTTTGGGAAATAACTGGGAAGATGAAGCAGAAGTCCCAGTGAATCATTCACTTGATCCCAATAACTCATGTTATAGAAACAGACTCTAACATATTCATCATAAGCTACAACTACATCTCTCTAGATATTCTTACATCTTGTATGTAGCATACATATACACACAAGATGTCTACTACCACATTATAACAATTGGAAATACAAACTAAAAGCTTCAAAATAGGAAAGCCTTTAATAATCTTTTTTTTTTTTTTTTTTGACAGGCAGAGCTAGACAGTGAGAGAGAGAGAGAGAGAGAAAGGTCTTCCTTCCGTTGGTTCACCCCCCCAAATGGCTGCTATGGCCGGTGCACTGAGCCGATCTGAAGCCATGAGCCAGGTGCTTCCTCCTGGTCTCCCATGCAGGTGCAGGGCCCAAGCACTTGGGCCATCCTCCACTACACTCCTGGGCCACAGCAGAGAGCTGGACTGGAAGAGGAGCAACCAGGACAGAATCCGGCGCCCCGACCAGGACTAGAACCCGGAGTGCTGGCGCCGCAGGCGGAAGATTAGCTTAGCGAGCCGCGGCGCTGGCCAGCCTTTAATAAATTATGCCATAGCAATCTCATCGAATATTATATCTTTAAAAATAAAAATGAGAGCTGTGTAGAAATAAGTGGAGCATAAGATGGAAAGAGAGGGAGTAGGGACTGAAACAGAATCAGAGAACTGTTCCAACAGCCAAGTGAGAAGCGTGATACATTATCACGCCCTGTACAATAAGGGATGGCAGTGAAGAAGGCAGAGATGATAGAGATGGAGAGATACTACGAGAATAATAACAAAGCCTACTACAACCAGAGATGTGGGATGTGAGGCAGGTGCAGCCAAAAGGAAGATAGAGGTTTCCAGACTTGGGGACTTACCATAAAAGTAAGAAGCAACACAGCTCACTCTGTTGGGAAGATGAAGAGTTTGATTTTGAACATGGTGCTGATAATATCACGCATTACTTGCATAATGCTTTCCTGTTTCTCATGTACTGTTGCATACATTAAAACACAAATGCTCATCTGATCCTATAAGAAGTCTGAAAAATGCAGCCAGAGAAGGTACGAAGGATGAAATGGACGCTTAGATGTCACACAAACTGCCACTAGACATCAGGCCCCCTGATTCAAAGTCCATTGTTCTTTCCACTGCCAGGGAATTAAAACAGTCAGACTTAAACCTGGGTTGAAAACTCAGGAGAGGCTATGACCTGGAAAGATGAACACACTCAGCAAAGCTTAAGATCAGTTCACAGAAAATGATGCACGCATGCTTTGGGCAGAGAATATTCTGGGGAGCAGGTAGGAAGGGGCTCTTATACTTGCAACAGAAACTGCCAGTGGCCCATTTACCCAATACACATTCACTTCTTCCTAACAGAACTCTGCACAAGAGAAATGGGTGAAAAACTACAGGTCCAAGATGTCTTTGTAAACAAGAGTGGCCAGAGATGTATTTGGAAGTTGCTGAGTCAGCCCCTCTGCCCTAATTCTTCTATACGCACCACCATACTGACTGCAAAGAAGACATGATGCTTAGCCATCTTGGAAGACAAAAGAAAGGACCGGGAATTCACAAGCACTGGCAAAAAGAATGTAAAGATGTCCACCCCTGTGCCACTGAAGCAACACAAGCCAGCTTCTAACTCCGGAATGTACTGGGTAAGAAAAAATAATCCTAGAGTTAAGACTTGCTTCTGAGGCTTGTCATTTTCCAGGACAACCGTATTTTCTCTATCATGCACTGTGTGGCCTGGGCTGGATGAATCCTGGCTGGCCTGACCCACCACGGCATTCTTTCAGTTCTGATATTGTAAGCTTGTAAAAGACTCAACCTATCAACACTTTGCTTCTAGAACTTTAAAGAAGGCACCTGCGCTGTGACATAGCAGGTGAAGCTACTATCTGCAGTGCTGGTATCCCAGCTGCTCCACTTCCAATCCAGCTCCCTGCTAATGTGCCTGGGAAAAGCAGAGGAGGATGGCCCAAGCCCTTGGGTCCCTGCACCCATGTGGCAGACCCAGAGGAAACATCTGGCTCCTGACTTAGGCCTGACCCAGCCCTGGTCATTGTGGCCCTTTGGGGAGTGAACCAGTGGATGGGAGACTTCCCTGTCCCCCATCTCTTTATTATGCTTTCAAATAAATAAATCTTAAAAAAAAAAAAAACACTTTAAAGAGCAGAGAAAAACAGAAGCACCAGTGCCTCTGGGGTAGGAATTTATTTATTCTATTTATCTTGACTCACAGATTATCAATACATCATGACTCTGAATACTCCCCAAAAGGGTCGCATAT